AGAAAACAAAAGAATTTCTCTTATTAGATCCCATTACCATTTTCTGTATATTACTTGTATACAATATAGGAATTTTTTATAAGAAATAATTGGAGCGACAAGAAGTAGTAGATCACAGAACACCATATCACACAATCCACGTTATGGGAAAAGTTAATATCGACAAAAATAATAATAATAATTTACACATAAAAAGGTAAAAAAGGTTCGCAGACAAAATCAGAACAGAGTTACCTCACCAACCAATTGCAAAATTAATATTTTCAGTTTTAAATTTGATTTTGCCAGTTTGTATCCCACGTGCTAAAAAGATTGTACAAAAATCATTGGTTACCACAGAAAAATAATCTTGGTGGTATAAATCCTGATGAATGCAAAGTTTGTATCCTTGTCTCAGTTTGGATAATGCTAGTGGGGTATACTAAACTATGCTCTATATCGCTTTCGTACCTAGAATTTTATTATCTACTCATAGAATCCCCCAATATTTTGGAGTTAATCTCATTTTGACCCCAAAATAATTACATGTTTTGCATTTTGGCCAGGTCCATTGTTCTACAAAGGATGGTACCATTTCTTCTACCAATATAACCCAAACGCAGCCGTATGGGGTGATATTGTTTGGGGTCATGCCGTGTCTAAGGACCTAATCCATTGGGTCCATTTACCCTTAGCCATGGTTGCAGACCAATGGTACGACGCCAATGGTGTATGGACTGGCTCAGCCACATTCCTCCCTGATGGCTCTATCGTCATGCTCTACACCGGTTCCACCGACACATCCGTGCAGGTATGTGTACCCACAAAAGATTTAATCAATTTTACGTATCAATGTTTTAATTGTTGTAGCAAAATGAAAATGACAGTTTTAAAACAGTTTAGTCATAATTATATCACTATATATATACATCAAATCTAGTAAATAGTATTTTTGATAAATATAAAACTTGTAAGAAAATGGATGAATATTCCAATATATTAATTGACCAAATCTAACAAGTTTTGTTTTATATTATCAAAATAATACTTTTGATAACTATACTAACTGCAAGAAAAATGGGAGGGTCCAATGATATTTATATAAAATTAAATTTATGTGTGAACATGTGATAGTTTTGATAGATAAGTTTTTGGAACAATAAATGCGAAAATAATTCACGAAACATATTAGGCTAATGAGTTTATATAGCCAGATTTTTGGTAAGTTAGATACTGAACATGAAAATTAGGTTCAATGATTATATCAATGAAAATAATTTAATGTTTTTCAGGTCCAAAATCTTGCCTACCCTGAGGACCCCAACGATCCACTTCTGCTGAAATGGACCAAGTTCTCGGGCAATCCAGTTCTTGTACCTCCTCCGGGTATTCTTCCAAAGGACTTCCGTGACCCGACGACTGCGTGGAAGACATCTTCCGGAAAATGGCGGATCACGATTGGTTCCAAGATCAATAGAACCGGAATCTCACTCGTGTACGACACGACCGACTTCAAGACTTACGAGAAACTTGACACATTGTTGCACCGAGTTCCAAACACCGGGATGTGGGAGTGCGTTGACTTTTACCCGGTCTCTAAGACCGTGGTCAATGGGCTCGACACATCGGTCAATGGACCAGATGTGAAGCACATCGTGAAGGCTAGCATGGACGACACAAGGATTGATCATTATGCCATAGGGACATATTTTGATTCAAACGGGACATGGATCCCGGATGATCCTACTATCGATGTCGGAATTAGTACTAGTTTAAGATATGATTATGGAAAATTCTATGCTTCAAAGACGTTTTATGACCAGAACAAAGGTCGAAGAATCTTGTGGGGTTGGATTGGTGAATCTGATAGTGAGGCTGCTGATGTACAAAAGGGCTGGTCTTCTCTTCAGGTATATTTTGTTTCCTTGACGTAACGTGCTGTCAAAGTTAGGTTAATTATTGTGTTCGCTTGTAATCCAAGTTATACTAAATTTGTTGTTTATACGATGATCAGGGTATACCAAGAACCGTTGTTCTCGACACAAATACAGGGAAGAACTTGATTCAATTGCCAGTGGAAGAAATTAAATCTCTTAGATTAAGCAGCAAGCAATTCGATATCGAAGTTGGTCCCGGGACGATCTTACCGATCGATGTTGGTACTGCGGCTCAGCTAGATATCGAAGCGGAATTCGAGATCAACAAAGAATCTATCGACAAAATCCTCCGAGACGCTTCGGTGGTGGCTGAGGCTGAGGAATTTAGCTGCCAGAACAGCAGAGGCTCCACTATCCGCGATGCATTAGGGCCATTCGGATTCTCGGTTCTCGCCGATGAGAACTTGTCCGAGCAAACACCGGTTTACTTCTATGTAGCTAAGGGAAAAGACTCGAAGCTCAAAACTTTCTTCTGCACGGACACCACAAGGTACTAATTAATTTCTTAAAATGATCATAAACTAAAGTCTAACGACGGTATATTATTCGATTATGAAAATTAACATTTTCTTGTAACAGGTCATCTTTTGCAAACGATGTCGTTAAACCGATTTACGGTAGCGTCGTACCGGTTCTAAAAGGGGAGAAATTGACCATGAGAATATTGGTAAATTTGATACACTTCGATATATAAATTTCGATATATAAATTTCATTAGTATACACTTATACAATATGTATTAAACTTATATTTTTTGATATTATTTTTGAATAGGTGGATCATTCGATAGTAGAAGCATTCGGACAAGGTGGAAGAACATGTATAACTTCAAGGGTTTATCCAACAAAAGCCATTTACGGAGCAGCAAAGCTTTTCTTGTTCAACAATGCTAAAGATGCGACTGTTACGGCGTCGTTTAAAGTCTGGCAAATGAACAGTGCTTTTATTCATCCTTACTCTGAAGAGGTTGCTCGTGCTCTCTCTCGCACCTGATTATTTACCAAACCTCCATTAAAATTGGTTTTTTTTTTATATATTTTTGTAGAGTTATTTGTAATAAATATTTTTTATATCTTCTTTTCCAGTTTAGCGGTTTAATTATTTGATTCAATATATGGTTTGGGTTTGATCTTTTGATTCATCATATGTAAGAAAAAGGGCACTGAAACACACTATCACACGACTGTTGAGAACTTTTATTCATCAGTTACTAAAATTTTGGTAAGATAAAGTTGCTTTTTAAAGAATTTTGCAAAAACAGTTCGATTCTTCAGAAAAAAAAACAATTTCGAACTCTATAAACTAATATTCGATAATCGAGTTTCGGCCCAATAATTTAATTGGTAAGTTGGATTTTTCGGCTAATCAGTTTATTTTGAGAGTAGTGATACAGTATTACTGGACGGAGTTGTGTTACATTTCTCATTTATCATTTCCAATGTAGCTAATAAAAATGAAAATATAATTTTTATTTAATTTGTTTATGCTAAAACCTTCCGATGAGAACAGAGGGTTTAAGAACAGAGCTTTTTTTGTTGGGCTCATCGTCAAAACTCAAAAAGTTTCGAAACTGTTCGTTTTCTTGCTACTGCAATGTCTTCTCTTCAATACTTCTCCTCCATAACAATTTCCTTCGGAACTCCAAAATGCGTATGTAATACCCCTCTCGTTACTCGCTTAGCTCCCATTAAATCCCGTAATTATCGTCTAACGTTGAGGGCAACGACGTCAATTGATGAAATCCCACCAAATGCAGTTCGCCGGAAAATAGACCGGAACTGGAGAGGTGGGTTTAGTCTCGGCGTAGATTTAGGTTTATCTCGGACCGGAATCGCTCTTAGTAAAGGCTACACTGGTCGACCTCTCACGGTAATCTTCGAATTTCTCAATCTAGTGGCGTTTAAGGTTTAATGGATTGATGTGATTTGAGTATTTAGGTTTTGAAATCGAGAGGACAAAAGCTCGAGACGAGGCTATTGCAAATTGCTGAAGAGGAGGTATAAATTTCGAATTTTGCAACATAATTTATCAAAAAGGAGGATTTTTAGTGATTTGATTGAAGTGTGTTTGTAGGAGGTTGATGAATTCATAATTGGGTTGCCGAGATCTTCTGATGGGAAAGAGACAATTCAGTCGAATAAAGTTCGATCTGTTGCCGGACGACTCGCTGTTCAAGCCGCCGAGAAGTGAAGCACATTCACAACACATACATATATCTGTTTATTGTATAGGTGAAATGTGATAAAACATTGGTAAATTTATGTGCTTTTTCAGGGGTTGGAGAGTTTATGTATTGGATGAACATGGGACATCATCAGAAGCTTCAGACAGAATGATTTTAATGTTAGTTCCTCTTCTTAATCACTCTTTGTTCTTGGTTTAGCAATTCAGGTAGCCTGCTGAGACAACGAAAGCGAGACATGTGAACAATCTTAATGTACATATTGCTTCTAAAACATTGATCTTTCGTGAAAATGTTGATTACTTATGTGAATTGTTTTTAAACCGATGATGTTTTGAACATTCTATTCTTCCAGGGGACTAAGCAAGAGTGAAAGGCAGAACAGAGAAGATGCGTACGCCGCTGTGGTAAGGAAATGAGAACACGATCTCGAGTTTTAAAATGTAGTGTTTTATGGTTTTTATTGGATCTTATGTTACAGATATTGTTGGAGAGGTATTTCTCTACACAAGGTCGAGGAACCGAGATTATACTTCCCAAGAGTTTAGAACTTCAAGAGAAGATCAAAAACGGTGCATTTCTAGACTCTGACTTTTTCCCGAGAAAGCTTGAAGAGTATAACACATTTTAAAGTAGTTTACTTTTGTTATCCTCATAGCCTTGTGGAATTCTTGCGATTGTTTATGATTTCGATTCGTTTATGTAGACTTCAGTATATAAACACAAATATAAGATTATGTTAAGGACCTTGTTTGTTAGTGCGCATGACTTACCATTTTGTTGAAGCTAAACCAAAAATCCGATATTTTTAAATCAGATTTATGTTTTCCTCTGTGCATTAATCCTAAACAACCTTTTTTGGTTGAGTCTGTGGTTGTGTTTTGGAGTGTTCATTGTACTGTATTTTGTTTACGGAAGTAAGTAATTTGGCAAACTTGCATATTTTTAAAGAAAGTATCAATTTTTCTGGATAATGTTCTGTTTTTTCAACAAAGAGATTCGAGCTTCAGATACATATTGATTTTCTCCGATAATCGAAGGAAGGCTTTTCAGAGACAAATCCATGAGGAGAAAGGAGCGTGGTCATTTTAGATAAGTAATCATCTTTTTTTTCACAACTCTACAGATTGGTTGCATAACCTGATCAGAGTAGCATATATGGCTGTTCTGTTTTTGTTTATGTTTTCCGTTTATTTGCTTTCTGGGTCTGGGTTTGGTTCGTCAGTCTAGAGTTATAAAATGTATACTTTGCTGATCTGATCAATTCCAATGTTCACACCACTTGTATAATGAATTGTCTCTGTCAAGAGTTTTGGAAGTGTTTCTCAAGTGAATCTATTTTGTCGTAGAAAAATGAAAATGTTGCTTGTGAGTTGGAAAGTCCCATAGCTGAGCTCAGGATATTTGCAACTCTACAGATAGGGTTCGTTGTTATTTGTTAGTTTGCATGAATTTATGATCGGTTGCAACTATGGCTGTTCTCTGTTTATGTTTATGCTTCTGTCGAATGATCCATAAACCCTTAAAAATTCTTTTCATGTTTGTGCTTGCAAATATGGCGATTGTGCTAGTCTTTTTACAGTTGTTATTCCGATCAAGAACTTAAAACAACAATTTTTTTGTGTGTGTTCCGTTCTGACTGAAACAGGAAAAAATGGTTCTCATCTTGAATCTTCATAGTATAGCAGTTGGCAGATAAAATGCTTTACATTTGTTTGCTAAACTTGAAATTTTTTTATGGAAAAGATCGTTGCTTTGTTCCTCGATCACTAGTGTTCCAATGGTCCGTACTTTTATGAATGTTTCTTCTGTGATAAGTACTAAATGTGTGGGTTGTTTCCATATATATGTAATAAAGTGGGGACCATTTCAGTAGCATCTTTGGACTCCTGCACTAAAGCAAAGTTCAGGAGACAGCATTTTTCAAAAATCTTATCATATCTTTTCTTCCTTTCTAATAATTGCTTTGCTTTGCTTCTGGGAATCTCGCTCGTCTGTGCAACAATGGGAGGCTGTTTCTCTGTCTCAATGTCATGTGATCAAGTGGTGAATCAAGTCTCTCAATGGTTATGCCTCAAGGGGAGTTATATTCACAACCTCCCCGAGAATCTAGCAGCTTTGGAGAAATCCATGGGAGATCTCAAGGCGAAGAGAGATGATGTTCAAAGAAAGGTAGACAGCGAAGAGTTTACAGGGCGTCGTCGAAGGCTTTGTCAAGTCCAGGTATGGCTTACGAGAATCCTAGACGTTGAAAAAGAATTTAATGATCTTGCTAGAACTAGTAAGATGGAGCTTCAAAGGTTGTGTCTCTGTGGTGTTTGCTCCAAAGATTTGAAATCGAGCTATCATTATGGGAAAAGGGTTATTCTGATGTTAAGGGAGATTGAGAGTCTTGGTTCTCAAGGAGAATTTGATGCGGTGACTGAGGAAGCTCCAAGAGCTGAGGTTGAAGAGTTGCCTATTCAACCTGCAATTGTTGGTCAGGAAACAATGCTCGAAAGGGCATGGAATCGTTTAATGGAAGATAGAGTTGGGATTGTAGGTCTGTATGGTATGGGTGGAGTAGGGAAAACCACCCTTCTCACGCAGATCAACAACAAGTTTTCTGAAATTGGTGGCAGATTTGAGGTTGTGATATGGGTTGTGGTGTCTAAAAATCCAACAGTCCGTAAGATTCAAGGAGACATTGGGGAGAAACTAGGCCTTGTGGGGAAGGAGTGGGACGAGAAAAACGACAAGAAGAGAGCTCTTGACATCCATAACGTTCTTAGGAGGAAGAAGTTTGTGTTGTTGTTGGATGATATATGGGAGAAAGTGAACTTAACTGTGATTGGAGTCCCGTATCCGAGCAAAGAAAATGGATGCAAAGTAGCATTTACCACCCGCTCTCGAGATGTTTGTGGGCGGATGGGGGTTGATGATCCAATTGAAGTCCATTGTCTAGACACCTGTAAAGCATGGGATTTGTTCAGAAAGAAAGTCGGAGACAACACACTAGAAAGCCACCTAGACATTCCCGATCTTGCAAGAAAAGTCGCTGAAAAATGTCGTGGCCTACCATTGGCACTTAATGTCATTGGGGAAACTATGGCGAGCAAAAGCACAACACAAGAATGGCATCAGGCAATTCATGTTTTGACTTCATATGCTGCAAAATTTTCAGGCATGGAAGATGAGATTCTTCCGATTTTGAAGTATAGCTATGATAGTTTAAATGGTGAGCAGGTGAAATCGTGTTTTCTATATTGCTCTATGTTTCCTGAAGATTATCAAATTGATAAAGAAAGGTTGATAGAGTACTGGATAGGTGAGGGATTCATAGATGAAAAGGAAGGCAGAGAGAAGGCATTAAATCAAGGTTATGAGATACTCGGCACCCTTGTTCGTGCATGTTTATTGTTGGAGGGATCAAAAGACAAATTGATTGTGAGTATGCATGATGTGGTTCGTGAGATGGCGCTATGGATAGCATCTGATCTTGGAAAGTATAAAGAAAGATGCATTGTGCAAGCTGGTGTTGGGTTACATGAAGTACCAAAAGTCAAGAATTGGAAGAATGTGAGAAGAATGTCTTTGATGGAAAATGAGATTGAAAAGATATCTAAGAGTCCCGACTGTCGTGAACTTACAACTCTCCTCCTTAGTGAAAACCATGTGTTAGTAACTATCTCTGATGAATTCTTTCGGTATATGCCTAGACTACTCGTTTTGGATTTATCAGGGAATAAATGTCTATGTGATTTGCCAGAGCAAATATCAGGTTTGGTTTCTCTGAGATATCTTGACTTGTCACGGACACGTGTAAACCGACTACCTGTTGGTTTACAAGAGTTGAAAATGCTAATACATCTGAATATGGAGTTGACGCACAAACTTGAGAGTTTAGATGGGATATCAAAATTGTCGAGTTTGAGGACATTGAAACTACTACATTCCAAATTGTGGCTAGATATGAGCCTAATGAAGGAGCTGCAGCTGTTAGAAGATTTAGAATACATAAGCATAAATATCTCATCAAGTTTGGCTAGGGAGCTATTGTTATATGATCCCAGAATCATGAGATGTATACAACAAGTTTCTATTGAGGAGCGTGGGGAAGAATCAGTAAGAGTATTAGTTTTGCCAGCTATGGATAATCTGTGTAAAATTTGGATATGGGATTGTGGAATGAGGGAGATAAAGATAGAGAAGACACCATGGAACAAGAGTCTAACAAGTCCATGCTTCTCAAACCTCTCTCATGTGAAAATAGAAAACTGTGATGGTCTAAAGGATTTGTCGTGGTTGCTGTTCGCTCCAAACCTTATTTATCTTTTCCTTTGGAATTTGGAGCAAGTAGAGGATATAATAAGCAAAGAGAAAGCGGAGAGTGTTTTGGAGAAGGAGACATGTAATAATATTACTCCTTTCCTGAAACTAGAAGTCCTTGAAATGTCTAAGTTGCCTGAGCTGAAGAGCATATACTGGAATGCTCTGCCTTTTCAACGTCTGAGATACCTCTACCTACAGGATTGTGAGAAGCTGAGAAAGCTTCCATTGGATTCTAAAAGCATTTTCAAGGTTGAAGAACTTGTCATCGAATACAGAGGGGAAGAATGGATACAAGGGATCGAATGGGAGGACGAAGCCACACGACAACGTTTCTTACCTTCATGTAAGCTGCTGCTTTGAGTAGCCTTCATGACCCAAAACTATTATTCTGTTTTTCTATTTCTTCTGAAATTGCATGTTGTTTTCTACCTCTGTTTCTATTGTGTTTGGTTCTGAATTATTATTCCTTGAATTTTCTAATGTAAAAATATTAAAAAGCTTGTTCGTGTAAATTGATTTTGAGTTCAAGTTGGCTAGAAGAATTAGGGTAAGTTAGTGGAACCGAGTGCACACCACCTGTTTGATCAGTTGTCTCTGTGAACAACTTTTGCAGCGTCTTTTTTTTTTGAAATGAATGTTAAAAATTTTATTCAAACAAAAAAAAAACGTTTTACAAGGAATGTGACTTGTTTCTAAAATGATTTTGAATTGAAGAAATCAAAAGCTTTGACTTGACAATATTCCTCGATGCTTTTCCCGACTATGTGCTTCTTGTGGCGAACCACGTTGTTCGTATTGAACACAATCGATTGTGGACTGTTTTGTCGATGATCTTCATGAGCGATCCGTGCGTGAGTGGCTGCTTCCCGTGCCTCCGGTTGTTCAATTGTCTCCGTGAACAACTTTTGCAGCGTCTTCCTCTGCTTTGGAAGGCTAGACTTACAATTACTTGCCAAATCTGAAGAGTATTTACTGGAGTTCAAAGCTGATAAAACCTCTTGCTTGCAATTACTTGCCCAATCCAAAGATTAGTGGTCACAAATCTGAAATGTTTTTAAATTGCATGGTGCATTGCTTGAATGTGTGTTCCGGTCTATGCCTAGGCTAGTTGTTTTGGATCTTTCATGTCCTTGGATAGCCGAAGCAAATATCAGCGTGAGCTATCTTAACTTGTCACGGACAAGGATTAAAAGTCTTCCAGTTGGTTTACAACAGTTTGAAAAAGATAATACATCTCAATTTCGAGCCTTGAGAGTTTTACAGGGATATCAAATCTCTTGAGTTTGAGGACATTGAAACTACGCTTTTCTGGATGTCATTAGATCTCAACTTTGAAAATATACAAGTTCTAACCACTAAAATACAGTCAGGTTTGGTCTTGGAGCAATTGCTATGCTCTCACAGGTTTGACCTTCTCCATTTTAGCCGTCAGATGGAATCAGCAAAGTTCTCGGCGGTGGTCAGATCACCGACGAAGAAGCTCAGTCACTCAATAAACTGTAAGTAAAAAGATCTCTTTTTTTTTTCAAATCTCATGCAAAAATCTTTACTTTATAACATTTTCCAACTACATTTCATTAGCAGATCTAGTGTCTCTGGATCTTGTTTCTGAAAGTGATTGTCTTTTTTCAGTATATGAAGTCAGATTCTGTTTTCTTTGTAAATATCATATTGATTGATGAATTTATGAAAGGGATTGGTCAATGTGTTTTTGGCTTTTATGAGAACTTTTTAATTACATTCATTGTTCTTCAAAGCCCCACCATTTACATGTCAAACTACTACTGTTTCAATATAGTGAATAGTTGTATAACTCATTAACTAATGATGAGATCTTTGATTTTTTAATAAAATGTAGAAAGTGCAAATCCTTCCATAGCTATCTTAGTTACTTTTCTATGATGCTTTCAAGATCTTCAAGTGTTGTTTCTCTACTGATTTTAAAGGCGATTTTACGGGGTTGTTTACATGAAGAATTGCGCTAACCTTAAAGAGATGACTGGTAGTGGTATATTTACTGATAAGGCGAAAGGCGGGTCTGAATCCGATGCTACTGATCCAAAGACAGGGGCTCCGTTACTATCAGGTAACTTACTTGTCTTATGTTTCAACAGATATAGAAAAGTTTTAGTTCAAAATGATTTGCTTATGCAAATGTGGATGCATCTGTTAACTTACTATCAGGTAACTTACTTCTCAAGTAGTCCGTTCACCAGATGCATGCTTATGTAATTAGTTTCCTTTCGGTTAAAGATTGACCCCAACATAATTTCAAATTGTTATATGTATAGGATAGGATGTGTGTTGAGTTAATCAAAGGATGTGTAAAGATTTGGAATGCGATTTTAATGAATCTTCTCAAGTAGTCCCGTTCAGCAGATGCATGTTCGATTAAAGAATTTTGCAAAAACAATTCGATTCTTCAGAAAAAAAACAATTTTGAACTCTATAAAATAATATTCGATAATTGAGTTTCGGCCCAATAATTTACTTGGTAAGTTGGATTTTTCGGATAATCAGTTTATTTTGAGAGTAGTCGAATTCGTGATACAGTATTACTGAACGGGGTTGTGTTACATTTCTCATTTTCAATGCAGCTAAAAATGAAGATATGATTTTCATTTAATTTGCTTATGCTAAAACCTTCTGAAGAGAACAGAGGGTTTAAGAACACAGCTTTTTGTTTTTTTTTTGGGCTCATCGTCAAGTGTCTGAACTGTTCGTCTTCTTGCTCCAGCAATGTCTTCTCTTCAACATTTTTCCTCCATAGCAATTTCCTTCGGAACCCCAAAATGCGTAAATAATACCCCTCTCGTTCTTCGCTTATCTCCCACTAAATCCCGTAATTATCGTCTACCATTGAGGGCAACAACGTCAATTGATGAAATCCCTCCTAATGCCTTTCGCCGGAAAACTGACCGGAACTGGAGAGGTGGGTTTAGTCTCGGCGTAGATTTAGGTTTATCTCGGACCGGAATCGCACTGAGTAAAGGCTACACTGTTCGACCTCTCACGGTAAAACTTCGAATATCTCAATCTCGTGGCGTTTACGATTTACTGAAATTGATGTGAGTATTTAGGTTTTGAAATCGAGAGGACAAAAGCTCGAGACGAGGCTATTACAAATTCAGGTAGCCTACAGAGACAACGAAAGCGAGACGTGTGAACAATTTTAATGTACATATTATATTGCTCTTAAAATATTGAGCTTTCATGAAAATGTTGATTACTTACGTAAATTGTTTTTAAACTGATGATGTTTTGAACATTCTATTCTTCCAGGGTACTAAGCAAGAGTGAGAGGCAGAACAGAGAAGATGCTTACGCCGCTCTGGTAAGGAAATGAGAACACGATCTCGAGTTCTAAAATGTAGTGTTTTATGGTTTTTATCGAATCTTATGTTACAGGTATTGTTGGAGAGGTATTTCTCTACACAAGGTCGAGGAACCGAGATTATACTTCCCAAGAGTTTAGAACTTCAAGAGAAGATAAAAAACGGTGCACTTCTAGACCCTGACTTTTTCCCGGGAAAGCTTGAAGAGTATAACACATTTTTAAGTAGTTTGCTTTTGTTATCCTCATTGCCTTGTGGAATTCTTGCGATTAATTGTGATTTCGATTCGTTTATGTAGACTTCAGTATATAAACACAAATATAAGATTCTGTTTAGGACCTTGTTTGTTAGTGCACATGACTTACCATTTTGTTGAAGCTAAACCAAAGATCCGATATTTTTAAATCAGATTTATGTTTTCCTCTGTGCATTAATCCTAAAACAACCTTTTTTGGTTGAGTCTGTGGTTGTCTGTTTGGAGTGTTCATTGTACTGTATTTTGTTTAAGGAAGTAAGTAATTTGGCAAACTTGCATATTTTTAAAGAAAGTATCAATTTTTCTGGATAATGTTTGTTTTTTCAACAAAGAGATTCGATAATAGAAGGAGGGCTTTTCAGAGACAAATCCATGAGGAGAAAGGAGCGTGGTCATTTTTGGACAAGTAATCATCGTTTTTCACAACTCTACAGATTGGTTGCATGACCTGATAAGAGTAGCATATATGGCTGTTCTGTTTGTGTTTATGTTTTCGTGTATGTACTTTTCTGGATCTGGGTTTGGTTCGTCAGTCTAGAGTTATAAACTGTATACTTTGCTGATCTGACCAATTCCAATATTCACACCACTTGTGTAAGCCGTGTACAAGTATCATGTTTTCACGTGATGGCTTTGTACATTTGCGGACTTCCCTAGAACCAACTTGACTATTAAAATTTCAACAGCTGGATTCTTAAATACTTAGAAAAAACTACAAAAGACCCTTTGTTTTTGGTCAAGAAAAAATACATTAAAAATGATAGTGTGTGCATACTACGCTCATGGTTTCTCTCTCTCTCTCTATCACTTGGAAGAAGAGATTAGATCGAAACTTCAAACTTTTGCTTAGCTTCTGCTTTTGGTCTGTGAGGTATTATCTCTCTCTCTGTTGTGCAGCAATGGGAGGTTGTTGCTCTGTCTCGTTGCCTTGTGATCAAATGGTGAATCATTGCTCTCAATGGTTATGTGTCAAGGGGAGCTATATACACAACCTCCCTGAGAATCTAGCGTCTCTGGAGAAAGCCATGGGAGTACTCAAGGCACAGAGAGATGATGTTCAAGGGAGGGTTAACAAAGAAGAGTTTACTGGGCATCGTCCAAGGCTTGCTCAAGTCCAGGTATGGCTTACGAGTATACTAGCCATCGAAAACCAATTTAGTGATCTTCTTAGCACTAATAACGTTGAGCTTCAAAGGTTGTGCCTCTGTGGATTTTGCTCTAAAAATCTGAAAATGAGCTACCTTTATGGGAAAAGGGTTATTCTGATGTTGAGGGAGGTTGAAAGTCTCGGTTCTCATGGAGAATTTGATGTGGTGACTATGGAAGCTCCAAGAGCTGAGGTTGAAGAGTTGCCGATTCAACCCACAATTGTTGGTCAGGAAACAATGCTTGAAAGGGCATGGAACCGTTTAATGGAAGATAGAGTCGGTATAGTAGGTTTGTATGGTATGGGTGGAGTAGGCAAAACTACCCTTCTCACACAGATCAACAATAAGTTTTCTGAAATAGGTGGCGGATTTGTTATCGTAATATGGGTTGTGGTTTCTAACAATGCAACAGTCCTTAGGATTCAAGAAGACATCGGGGGAAAACTAGGCCTTGTGGGGAAGCAATGGGTCGAGAAAGCTGAAAACCGGAGAGCCCGTGACATCTACAACGTTCTTAGGAGGAAGAAGTTTGTGTTGTTGTTGGATGATATATGGGARAAAGTGRAYTTAAMTRTGATYGGAGTCCCGWATCCGAACAGAGAAAACGGATGCAAAGTAGCATTTACCACCCGCTCTCGAGATGTGTGTGGGCGCATGGGGGTTGATGACCCGATCCAACTCAGTTGTCTCGACACCAACAAAGCCTGGGATTTGTTCAGAAAGAAAGTAGGGGAAAACACCTTGGAAAGCCATCCAGACATTCCTGAACTCGCAAGAAAAGTCGCTGGAAAATGTCGTGGCCTACCATTGGCACTGAATGTCATCGGCGAAACTATGGCTTGCAAAAGCACAACTCAAGAGTGGCATCGGGCCATTGACGTTTTGACTTCATATGCTTCAAAATTTTCAGGCATGGAAGATGAGATTCTTCCGATTTTGAAATATAGCTATGATAGTTTAAATGGTGAGCAWGTRAAATCRTGTTTCCTCTATTGCTCTCTGTTTCCTGAAGATTATCAAATTGAGAAAGAAAGGTTGATAGAGTACTGGATAGGTGAGGGATTCATAGATGAGAAGGAAGGCAGAGAGAGGGCATTTAACCAAGGTTATGAGATACTCGGGACCCTTGTTCGTGCATGTTTATTGTTGGAAGGAGGAAGGTATAAATCGAAAGTGAGTATGCATGATGTGGTTCGTGAGATGGCGCTATGGATAGCATCTGATCTTGGAAAGCATAAAGAAAGATGTATTGTGCAAACTGGTGTTGGTTTACGTGATGTACCGAAAGTCAAGAACTGGAATAGCGTGAGAAGAATGTCGCTGATGCGGAATCAGATTGAAAAGATATCTGAGAGCCTTGACTGTCCAGAACTTACAACGCTCCTCCTTGGGAGAAACATGATGCACTTAGCAAGTATCTCAGGTGAATTCTTTCGGTCTATGCCTAGGCTGCTCGTTTTGGATCTATCATATAATGAAAAGCTCAGTGGATTGCCAGAGCAAATATCAGGGTTGGTTTCTCTGAGATATCTAGACTTGTCAGATACAAGTATAAAGCGACTACCAGTTGGTTTACAAGAGTTGAAAATGCTAATACATCTGAATTTGGAGTGGACGGATAGCCTTGAGTGTTTAGATGGGATATCAAATTTGTCGAGTTTGAGGACATTGAAACTAATACATTCCAAAGTGTGGCTAGATATGAGGCTAATGAAGGAGATGCAGCTGTTAGAACATTTAGAGTTTATAAGCACAAATATCTCGTCAAGTTTTGTTGGGAAGCTATTGGCATATGACAGCAGAGTGTGGAGATGTATTCAAGAAGTTTCTATTGAGGAGCATGAGGAAGAATCAGTTAGAGAGTTAGTGTTGCCAGCTTCAGATAATCTGTGTAAAGTTTCGATATGGGAATGTGAGATTTTGAAGATAAAGGTAGAGAAGACACCATGGAACAAAAGTCTGTCAAGTCCATGCTTCTCAAACCTTTCTGATGTGTCAATATCAGGGTGGTGTGACGGTTTAAAGGATTTGACGTGGCTGCTGTTCGCTCCAAACCTTATTGGGCTTTCTCTTTGGGGGTTAGAGCAAGTAGAGGAGATAATAAGCAAAGAGAAAGCTGCGAGCCTTTTAGGCAAGGAGACATGTAATATTATTCCTTTCCAAAAACTAGAAGACCTTCATTTGGAAGATTTGCCTGAGCTAAAGAGCATATACTGGAATGCTCTGCCTTTTCAACGTCTGACAGAGCTCCGCATATCCGGCAATTGTGAGATGCTGAGAAAGCTTCCATTGGATTCTAAAAGCGTCTTCAAGGTTGAAGAACTTGCTATAGAATACTCTGAGGAAGAATGGATAGAAGAGATCGAATGGGAGGACGAAGCCACGCGACAACGTTTCTTACCTTCATGTAGGCTGAGAGTGTTTTAGAGGAGACATGTAATACTATTCCTTTCCAGAAACTAGAAGTCCTTCACTTGGAAAAATTGCCTGAGCTGAAGAGCATCATCTACTGCCTTTTCCACGTCTGGGACGTCTCCAAATGTTCGACAATTGTCCGAAGCTGAGAAAGCTTCCATTGGATTCTAAAAGCGTTCTCAAGGTTGAAGAATTTGCCATAGAATACATTTTTCTCTTTGAGGAAGAATTTCTCATGAAATACAGAGAGGAAGAATGGAAAAAAGGATCGAATGGGAGGACGAAGCCACGCGACAACGTTTCACCTTCATGTAGGCTGATTTGAGTAGCCTTCATGACCCAAAACATTGTAATTGTTCTGAAGTTTAGATCTTTCTCGACTCTGCAAAGTTTCGACCTTTAACAATAGCGTTCTCTTCTCTCTCTCCTCTACCCATAAAGTCACTCGACGTTTCACGATCATCACCCACCGCCACAAGATCTCCTTACCATTTTCCGAGATACCCATTGAGGCGTCTACAGCTAAACTCCCAATCAAACCCAGAAAATATCTGAGATTCATCAAACCTTCGGTGAGTCTCAATATTTATTTGTTTTATTTTTTGCAATTTTTGGGTTTTCAGTAACTTAAGGGATTGATATTGTTCTTCGAAAAGGATTTTATCAACAACTTCATGTAGGTTGTTGCTCTGGCGGAGAATCGAACACATGGAAGCGGATTTTTTCGGCAGCACTAGCGACGGTGGTTATCGCCTCTAGCTCCGGCGTTCCGGCCATGGCAGAGCTTAAAAGGTTCGAGGCCGTGGCGAATTCGGAATAGGATCGGCTGCTCAGTTCGGTTTGCTGATCTCAGGTATTGTATAGTGTTCTTGTCTCAGTAAATCTTTAGAGAATGTTCATTGTGTTTTTGATGATAATGAACACTGCTTGTTTTGCAGCAAAACAGTTCACTCCAATGAAACTTTCAGGTTAAATTTCTTTTGTTGGTGATGAAGAGTGGATTTTTTTTTGTTTTTGAAACACCTTGGAAGTCCGGATCTTTGATCCATAATCTCCCCGGTGCCCAGGACCAGTCGTTGATAATACCGCATTTAAAGCGTAAATCATCATTCCAAGTGGAGTTGAATTAGTGACCTTGAACTTGAAAATTTACTCTCAAGACGAGTAGGTCACCAATTGTATTTATTGTAACAAAGTTCGAAGTTTTTTTGATCTTTAGGAAGTGAAGATTTATGTTTTCACTGGTTCAACTAATGAAATCTTGAATCAACTAATTTTCAATCTGAAGAAGCAAGACTTTGTTTTGTTTCTGATCTTATTGATATTGTTGCAGAAGAGCCAACTTCACTTCAGCAGACATGAGAGAATCTGATTTCAGTGGTTCGACTTTCAATGGCGCCTATCTTGAGAAAGCGGTTGCATACAAAGCTAACTTTTCAGGTAGTCTCTTCTCAACTTTGTAATCACTTAGCCTTCCCTTTGCAATGCTTATGGATTTATGGTATTAGACTCATGAAAGAGAACAAATTCTACAAAGAAAAATCGATTCATTTACATGTACCCTTTTACTAGACGTTTCTGAATCTCAATTCCTTGGCCTCCACAAGCATTTTGACAGTTTCAAATCTTGCAACATTTAACTCTCTGTGTTGCATCCTTAGTTCCTTTTGCAGTAGCTCTGTCATCTTTGCTACTCCACTCTGTTTTTTTTTGAGCATTTAAAACCTTTATATGTGTCTATCTTCAATTCTATAAAACTTTCTCCTCGAACTTCCTTCTGCTAAACCTCGATTAGATTCAACGCCCGAATTTCCTTTTGGATTAGCTTCTAAGAGTTCTAGTCTTTCAAATTGAGAAATTTGACATTTGAGGACTCTGTATATATACATTCTACTCTGTATATATATACTTGCATATGAGGCATTTTTCTTTTGGTTAAAGCTTCCTTTCTGGCGATTTTAGGTGCTAAACGAGGCTTTTTAGTGATTTGATTGTAAGTGTCTTTTGTAGGAGGTTGATGAATTCATAATTGGATTGCCGAGATCTTCTGATGGGAAAAAGATGATTCAGTCGAATAAAGTTCGATCTGTTGCCGGACGACTCGCTGTTCAAGGCGCCGAGAAGTGAAGCACACTCACATCACATTCATTCATACATATATTGATGAAATGTGATAGGCATTGGTAAATTTATGCATTGGTTGAACATGGGATATCATCAGAAGCTTCAGACAATGATTGTAATGTTAGTTCCTCTTCTTAATCTCTATCTGTTCTTGGTTTAGCAATTCAGGTAGCTTGCAGAGACAGAGAAATTGAGACATGTGAACAATCTTAATGTACATAATGCTCCTAAAACATTGAACTTTCATGAAAATTTCGATTACATATGTGAATTGTTTTTAAACCAATGATGTTTGAACATTCTATTCTTCCAGGGGACTAAGCAAGAGTGAAAGACAGAACAGAGAGGATGCCTACGCTGCCGTGGTAAGGAAATGAGAACATGATCTCGAGTTTTACAATGTAGTGTTTATGGTTCTTATTGAATCGTATGTTACAGATATTGTTGGAGAGGTATTTCTCTACACAAGGTCGAGGAACCGAGATTATACTTGCCAAGAGTTTAGAACTTCAAGAGAAGATCAAGCACGGTGCACTTCTAGACCCTGACTTTTTCCCTGAAAAGCTCGAAAAGTATAACCCATTTTAAACTGGTTTTGCTTCTGCTATCCTCATAGCTTTGTGGAATTCTTGCGATTCTTATGATTTCGATTCGTTTACGTAGACTTCAGTATATAAACACATGAATAAGTTTCTGGTTAGGACCTTGTTAGTTAGTGCACATGTCTAACCATCTTGTTGAAGCTAAACCAAAGATCCGGTTTTTGTTTTCCTCGGATCATTAATCCCAAGTAACCAAAAAACTTCATATTGTGAACCACATTTTGAAAACATGTTCTATTGGATGAAAGAGATCGGTTTGCTCCGGTTTGGGGTTGTGGACTCGGATTGTGAAACTTATCCTTCTATTAGAAAAAGTTGTTAGCAACAAAATCCTTCCCAATTTTTTGTTTTTCTGTTTCTGTGTGTAAATTTCCACCCTTGGCAATTAATTATTTAGGAATCAACTTTCCATTGTTTAACAAAATGAAAACGACAGATCCATTTTAATTGCATCATCTCTGTTAATTGTTACAGGAAAACTCACGATTATTGCTGATTCAAATATAGCGACGACTTGGACTAAAAAAATTACCACCAAATTCCAAGTTGGTGATTTAGATATATGGACGACTTGGGACTCAATTCACAAAATTACAAACAAACTCTATGATCTTAACATCTTAGTTTGTAATTCGGAAATCGCAAGTACGCCTATAGCTGATTGGACGATGGGTGGTTTTTTCTCGTGTGGCCTTGATCAATTGTTCATCCATGTCTGTAGCTGCCTCCTTGGTGAAGTCAACTATATTTGTAACCTTGAGAAGACTCTGGCAGCTCTGGAGAAAGCCATGAAGGTACTCAGAGCAAGGCGAGCTGATGTGTTGAAAAGGGTTCAGAGGGAAGAAAGCCAAGTGTCGAGAATATGCAAAACCAAGCCTATGAATTGCTTCTTCCTTGTAAAGTTGAACTTGAAAGGTTGTGTCTTTGTACAAATAACTTGAGATGGAGCTATTGCTACGGGAAACGGGTTTTTGAGATGTTGGAAGAAGTTGAAGCTCTTAAATCTGCGGGAGTTTTTGAAGCGTTGGCTGGGCCACCTACGATAGCTCTGGTGGTGGAGAGGCCTCAAGAACCGAAGATTTTTGGTCAAGAAGAAATGCTCAAAAGGGCATGGACGCACCTCAATAGTTGATGGAACCGGGATTATGGGTCTCTATGGAAAAACAACTCTTCTCGAACAGATCAACAATAAGTTTCGTGAGGCTATTGACGGGATCAAATTGTCATTTGGGTTGAGAAGATTCAAGATGAGATTGCTGAGAAACTAGGCTTTGGTGGAGAACATTGGAAACAAAAAGAGAAAGAACAGAAGGTTACTGATATACACACTCATTTGAAGAATAAGAAATTTGTGTTGTTATTGGATGACATTTGGACGGAAGTGGATTTAAATGAAATAGGAGTTATGTGAGGTTAGTTTGAAAACTCTGTTTTGCTTTACTAAGAAGATATAATGCAGCCGTTGGGAGGAAACAAGTCTTTGGCTTTGGTCAACTCAGTTTTAATGGTCAATGGCAAAGACACGTTCCCAAGCAGAAGGTCTAAAGTAAAGCTTTTGGTTGAATCAGAAGGTCTTATAAGATAAGGATATCTTTGCACAAAGTAGGGGTGGGCATAAT